TTTCCATTAAGTTAGTATGGCATAGTTCTTTTGTTAACATTTTTAGAAGAGATTATTATTTTTTTTTGCAAGAAGTTTCTTTGGAAGTTTAAAACAAGCTTTGAACTGACAAGGCTTCACCAAAAAGGCTTCTGTAATCTTAGTTGTTTCTGAGGTATTATGCTATTAGAAGGTATTTATTTCATTACTACCTTGTTTTTTTTCCACATATTCTAGCATTGTTGATATAATCAAAGTGTAAGCCAGCTAACTCGGTGTATTCATATAGTTAATTTGATAGTGGACGGTTCTGTGATGTTCTCAGTGTTGTGGACCTGATACCACAGTCCCCACTTAGTTTCAAATTACTTTTGTGCTAGTGAAGCTTCTGAGAAATACCTGTTTGCTCTAAATACTACAATAGAGTTTTCCTCAGACTTTTCCATCTCTCTAGAAATGATTTTTTTCTCAGCAGGAGAACAATGAGAGGAAAAGTTGCTATAACTGTGTTTTTTTCATACACATAGGGAGTAAAATGGTTTTAGTCCACATTTTATTAGGCTGCCTTGTTATGAAAGTCTGCCATTGCTCTGGAATTGTAACATGGGAAGTGATAGCATAATCGTGTCCTGGTTTCTTCACATTCATGTTGGCTGCCTTTTTGCACAGCACACCTCACTTGCTTCTGAATTAGTGCCCACCCTATCACAAAGCAGAATAGAAGTGTTCATTGCAGTGGTGTACAAGGGGTTTCTTGGGCTTGTCTTGTGATCTTTTCTGTCCATATAATGAACCTGGTTTCATTAGAGGTTTGCCTTGAGTATGTACAGGTCTACACTTTAGAGATTAAATCTTAAAATATTATTTCCAATAATTTTGGAAAGTTAACTATTGGTTCTTGCTCTCGAGGGAAATGAAGCAGAATATTTAAAACATTCTGGAGAGCTATAAGGCCGCTCACTTGGGATGTTTTCCAGGACTTTTCAAAGATGATGTAGAGCGGTCTAGTGATGACTTCTGTCAACTCCCCAAGCACACAAGGGTGCATCCTATCATGGCCCTTTTAATTTGTAGGTGTCCGGTTTCCTTAATTTTAATCTTTAACCCAGTCTACTTCTACTTGTCTTCAGTGTTTATTCTGTTATCTTTTTTCTGTGGCTTGTGCTCTTGCAAACCTCTGAAATTAACTTAAGCCCTGGAAAAATAAACTATGTAAAGAAATCATAAACTTGGCGTTAGTCTAGAAAGATTTTTCAATATGGCTACCTGATTGTATCAGAGATTATGAATTTTTTTTACTGGGTTGGGATTTGTGTGTTTCAAAGAGATGCACGCACATGTTGCAAGTTTAGTTCAAAGATACTGGATGTTTGGATTCAATGTGCATGCTGTTCTGCATTGCAAAGTAGCTCTGTCTGTACTTCTGGCTGTGTATCCAACTTGACTTATTGGTGGGACTTAGGTTTGAAAGGATATTTCAAGTCAAGCTGGTGGTGAGTGAGATTGATGCCCACGTTTCAGAACCTGTCTTGTCTTCCCAAAATCTCACTGATCTTTTGTCTGAAAAATATCAGTTACATGGTTTGGCAGTAACATGTCTGTACATTCACTAAAATCTCATTTTAAGAAGTGTAGTCAATACAGCTGATTCACCTTACCCTTGAGTTAGACATCTTGCAACTAGTCAGGTTAATTGTTTTCCACTTAATTGGCTGATAGAAGAGATCTCTATTGACTACAGAAGTTTTACATGTTTATACTCCTTAATTCAGGTAGGTATCTTAATCTTTAAATACTGTCTTGCATTCCTGGTGGTAATGCAAGTACAGGATCATACCTTTACAAATGCATTCTGGATATATTCAGTTGAGATTGCTAGTTCTGTCTGCTTTTTCAAATGTGTTGCTTTTTAGTTTTTAACTACAGAAGTTGATAAAAAACTCGGTTTGAAGTGAGGTGGTGAAGAAGGTACTTTATTTACATCTGACACTTCTGATTTCCTTTGCATAATGAAAAATTCAGAAGTGCCCTTTCAGGATGAAAAGCGAAGGAAAAGCCTATATGTATATACACCACAAATTCAGCTGTTCGTAGTGCAGTACGAAGCAAGGTACTTATGCTGATGTTAGTGTGGGACACCACACACAAACTCCTTGTCTTTGCTGCTTTGCAGATGTCTGTTCTCTTCAGGTTTTTTCTAAAGACTTCATTTTATGTAATGCAATTTTTTCTTTTAGGTAAAACTTTCTAACAGTTCACTTCTCCAGCACAGCCTTGGTATTTAATTTATTTCAAACTATAGTTGTTCTAGTGCCTATCACACAGTATTTAATCCAAGACTACATAAGATCCTGCAGTCAAACATTTTCCTTTGACAACTGACCTACCAGAGTGCCACCACGCACAGAGCTTACTCCAGGTTCTGATACAGTAGTTCTGTGAGCAGCTTTCTATGCCCAGCCGGCTCTGTGTTGCTTGTCCCATTGTACCTCAACTCCCAGCCTTATTCCCTAATGCAGGGCAGTATTGTCTGTCCCCACCATGTTTAGTGCTCCTTTTCCATCCTTTCCTGTTTCCCAGCAGAATGCAGGGTCATCAGTTGGTGTCTGAATCCTGGTTTGTGTGTTTTGAGGGTTTTTTTTGGGGGGATGATGGACCCTTAGGAAGAAAGAAGAAGGTGTTCCTAGTCTGCCTGTTTACCTTGTAGTTCACTTCCCATGTCACTGGAAGTGACACTACTAGCCCTCTAGTAGTTTAGGCTGATTGTGGGCAGAAGTCAATATGAAAAGCAGAATCCCACAGTTTTTCTGGAAAGAAAAAAGAAGTCATGTGGTGTGGCAGTAACGTGCTATCATTTACTTTCATCCTTAGGTTTACTTCTTGCCTTTGCATTTCAAGGGGATTAGAGATAAAGCTGTTCAGTTCAAAATCCTAGGACTGGAGTTTCAGACACTAAATGCATTTCTTTGTAATTGTAAATCTAAGATATTGATTAAAATCTGCTTTAAAGTAGGAGCCTCTCCACTATGGGTCTTAGCATTCATTCTAGAGCAATCGGATGTGCCTGGTTTTGGGTCTAAGCATAAACCAAAGTAATGCTTCTGGAGACAAAAATCATCTGCATCCTTAATTAAAACCAGGAGAATACCTGTTATATTTAGGAAACTGCATGTTGAATGCATGTTTAGATTTTTGTGTTGTTTTTTTTTTCAACTGTATCTACTAATTACCTTTTTTCTTTTGCAGAACCCTGTGATAATATGAGAGAGATTCTCCAAAATGTGGCCAAATTACAAGGCGTTTCAAATATGAGAAAACTAGGTCACTTGAATAATTTTACTAAGGTAAGAGCTCAAATACGTATCATAGAACAAGTGATCATTGAGGCAAAACATTTTGTATGTACTCTATCAGACAATGGGAGATTGATGGAAGAGCTTAAGTATAATGGAACAGCACTTGAAATCTACATGCTGTGGGAAAGGAAAGGACCAACTAAAGACAAGTAAATATGTGAATACAGGGTTATGCTGAAGTTTGTTGACGTGTCTTACTGCATGAATTTTTGTAGTATTTTAGGGCTTAGAAGCCTGAAATATCTCCCAATTCATGGGTTGACTTGCACAAATAGACCTAAAAATTGGTTTCTGTTCCTCAGAATTGAATAAAAATGTGAAATGCCAGACTCTGGATATAAAGTGACAAAGGATGATGAGGGAGAGGACTGTATCATAGGCATGCACGATATGCAGTGGTTTGGGCAGTAATAGAATTGTAACCATCAACTTTCATTGCTGTTTCATTGGAAAAGAGATGTGACAGATTTGAAGGGGCTGAATTTTGAGGTGCTTTTTCCAAATACGTGCTTTAAAACATGAAACCGGCATTCCATTTGTTGAGGCAAGGGAAAAGCGTGTTGCAGTCAGTGAGCTAGGAGACATTTATGCTTCACTGTGAATGTTACCCAGTGGATAGACTGATGCTCAGAAGGAACTGTCGAGTTGTACACCTTTCTGATTGAGCGCCACGTGTCTGAAGATGAAACCCAGTTTTCTGTGACAGAGGATGTATCCTACAATCAGGAGTAGCCAAGAAACAAGGTAGTAGCACAGAATTTTGTGGGGAAAGTAGGATTTAAATTATTGCTCTTGTAGGTGAGTTGATGACAAATCCTTGAGTGAGATAACAGTGAGGCTCTTTGACAATTTTGAGACAATTATGTGAAAGAACGAATGTTCAAGGGCAGGTTTGCAGAACCAATTGATATGAGAAGGCCAAACATGCATGATAGTCATGCTAGTAGTAGTGGTCATATAGTCACTTCAAAGGAGTCATGCTTCTTGGCTGTTAGAAGCACTCCTTGTGTGGCAGAACAGCACTTCAGCTGTAGCTTGTGAGGTTCAGTTAGAAGGAGGGTGAGTAATAAGAACAAAATTACAGTAGCAAATAAATTTATATTCAAATGCATTAATAACAAGTTTGTATATTCTCCTTCTCCTGAGTTGGTTCAGAGCACAAGTAGATGCATTACATTCACTGGGAGACTCACCTTGCACTGAAATATTTTCTTTGGATCATTGCCTTATTGTGCCTACCAGTTTGTCAGACATCCACCATGGACAAGATGCTGCTATTTATACTGAGATTCCACACAGAGTTGCAAGTAAGCTCCTTATTCTGTTGGAAAAGGCCAATACATAGCTGCGAGGCCTTCCAAATTCTCTAATTGCCCTAAAATGAAAGAGTTGGATTAGGGTTGCAGAAGCGTGATTCCTCATGAAAAGTTAATATTTTAAAGTATTTCTTAAAACGGTGTTGATTTTACTACTTCAGATCAGATGCTAAGCACCTATAGATGTGATAAATAGGCATAGTGTAATTAAAGGATGAACCCAAAATTATTTTTAAAATAGAATTTTGAAAAATTTAGCAATTCCATAATGAAATATTTTAAGAATTTGCTCTGTATTCTTGCCTGGTGTTAAAATTGGAAAATATTTACAAAAACACAAAGAAGGTTTTCATAAACTGGATATAAAAGTAGCTAGAAAATATGAATTTGTGAAAAGCAACTCACTAAAATTAAACATGACTTTTGAAGACAGAGGCTGTAGTTCATAACCTGATTTTGATCCTGAATCAGAGTGACACAGTATAAGGGAATTGTCCTACTCTATTTAACTTACTCCAGGGAGATGAAAATAAGCACATCTGCTTGTAGATTTGATTTTGAAAACTCTTCCTAATTTTGTTTGAATTGCAAATGCAATCATGAAAATAGAATGCAAGTTGCAAATTGTATTGTCTGCCTTGTGGCTGGAACAACTCTGTTTTTCATTACATTGGTTAAAAATAAAAGCCTGGAGCTTGTGGGAGATGGTTTTATTTCCTTTTTGTACTCTGGTCTTCTACCATGAATTGACACAGTCTCAGTTCCCCCTTTGTGAGACAGGAATTGGGGCGGGGAAAGACAGATATGCTAAGAGATGAGGATGTTTTTATCCTGTCCTGGAATTACATTGAAGATGAACTTGATTTGTCTGTAAAGTCTTGCAATTTATGGTCAATTTTTGAAAGGCTGCTAGTTATCTAGGATGTTTGCCTCATGGGGAGTGAAAAGATCTTTGATATTTTTTAATAGAATATTTCTGATAAAACAGAAAATGAAAAAAAATTAACTTTCCTGCTGGAAGTATTGTTATACTTAGAAAAAAAACCCCCAAAAACCACCATTGTAAGCAGTTGCTCCCCATTACCCCAGAGTGTTCCTTCAAAGGCTAGGCAACTCCTACATTTAGAAGAAATCATGTTAAACTTTTTTGGTTAAGGGAAATAAAATGTTTGTGTTCATGTGGAAATAAGTAATGTAAGTTTATGTGGACTGTCCTGACAGAGATCATGGTAGACATTACTTTTTGTATGGATTCCAAGATACCTGAGGTGTGTTAGGCTCAGGTTTCTTCACTTGTAAGAGGCCTAGATTTTTAAGGCAGGACTTTTTCCTTCCCTTCCTCCTGACACCCTTTATTTAATCACCCTTTAGTTTAGTACTAGTCCAGTAATTTTTAGAGTCTTAGGAGTTTTTGCAGAAGTTAAATACTTTTAAATAAAGATTAAAATTATGGTGGCCAGAAGTCAACAGGATTTGTAACTGTATCTGCAAGAATGGTAATATAAGGCAGATACTTTATATGAAGCTTGCTTTCCTAAGAAATGTAACTCCCTATTGATTGGTCTTTCTTTTCAAGAGGTGTGTTAACTAGTGACATTCAAGTCCCTGTAACACTGCTACTTACCGTGCAAAGTATGCTGTATACGTGTTTTACAAAAGCTGCAATTTCATGAATCAAATTCAACCCCCCTAGTTTTTTCATTACTGATTGATCCAAAAAAAACCGCTAGTAATCCTTACTAGTAAAAACCTTGATGTTCCTGTTCTTAGCTCTTTGGCAGCAGAACATGAACTGTTCTTGCCCAACAGGCACTGTTAACAGGTACCTTAAGTTTTCTGCTCCAAGAGTTTAACATTCCCAATCTGGTGGTGCTCAGGCCTATGGAAAGGCACAGGTTTTTTCTGAATTGCAGCAGCGGCAGGCTAAGAATTTTTTCTCCTCATTTGCTGCTTATCACTTAATAAATGAAGCTGAAGTTTTGTGGGCAAATAGGTTTATGAAGTACTTCCTAAACTATGTTAGACAAAAATAATCTTGTTCCTTTCAAACTACCTGTATCACTATTTAAACTAACCTGAGTTTTGACCTGAAAACTGAGAATGTGACCTTTAGTAAATGATCAGTGACACTTTCAGTCATCACAGTAGGTTGCAAGCTCAAGTTGTGTGCCTTTGGCTTCAGTAAACTGAGCAGGATTACCCATCTTTCATCTATATGGCCAGCTACATAAGGCAATCACCTTGAAGTTTCCCAGCTTCTGCTGATTAATACCACAACATAGTGGTTACTTTTTTAGGGTTTTCCCCACCCCCATGAGAAGTAGTAAGTGATAAATTACTGAAAACCAGAAGGAACTGTACAATTGCATTTACCTAGTGGAAAATATCTTTTGGATTTGAAGTATTCATTTAGCACTCTTTGTTAAGAGAAGTTTTTTTCCCACTGTTAGCTTCTGAGAGATCCTTCATAACTGTTGTATCCTAACAGCATATTTAAATAATTAACAGAAAAAAGATCTACAAGTGTTGTGATAGGGATTTATATTTTTCATTCAAAAACAAAGGTGCTTCTTTAAGGACAAAATTAAACCCAGTTCATCTCAGCTTAAATTTGGCAATCAAATAACATCATTGATATGGAAAATTATTTTTTCAATCTTAGACTCATAGAATTATACAATGTATTAGATTGGAAGGGACCTATAAAGGTGATGTAGTCCAACCCCTCTACCATAAGCAGGAACATATCCAAGTAGACTGGATTGCTCAGAGCCCCATCAAGCCTGATCTTCTCAAAACCAATTTTGTCATTATTTATTGAAGCTCCACTGTTCTGCTCTACGCATCTGCTAGCTTTTGACCATCCTGTTAAATTTCACTAGGATATGGATTGAGTTTGGGGCTACAGGGGCTTTCACATATTTCGTGTGTCTTGTTCATGCTCAGTCACTGTAGAGTCTCTGCTTTCCTCTGCAAAACCTAGATTATTTTAGAGTCTGAATGCGGTGTTGACTGACTGTAACATTCATCCAAGTAGCTAAACCACTGTGGGCAATACTTGAAATCTCATGATTAATGAAGTATGTGGCAGATAGGAACAGGACATCTGCTTATGGGCATTCAGCTGTGGAGCAAACCCGAAGAGCTAATGGATCTAAATGCAGAGTCCCCAGTTTCAGTAGAGTCTTCTGTTAAGACTACCATATACTAAATAGTCTCCTCATGAATATTACTGGTCATGGTTCAAACCGTATTTCCCAAACGCAGTGTAATAATTATATTTTTGAAGCATAGGATAGTATAATATTTTTACCTAGTGATTGCTGTGGCTATTCTGTTAAATATAAAATTGAATGGTCTCAGTGTTCACTGAACTTGTATGCTATTGACCTCCTGTGGTTTTGTTGTTTGGAGCTACTGTTTCCAAGACATGTTGATGTGTTACTCATATTGCTATGACTCATCCAAGTAGCACGAAAAACTCATAGCTGACAGTAAACATGAAAAAAACCTTCACTGTAAGTTAGTCACTGTCTGGCCTAGATTAAGTACCATTTTGTCCTAATATTAAATCATACCCTCAATTATTCTGTCCTCTTTCCATTCATTTACTATTATATAGAATCATCCAGGTTGGAAAAGACCCTGAAGTCATTGACTCCAATTGACTGC